GTACGTCGTACATATAGTGCCATAATTGTAGAGTGGCAGATAAGAGTATTACCAGCTCAACGACCTGTTTGGATGCTCCAAAATCTGCAAGTTTTATGCATCCTTTATTATCTACAAGAATATTGACCCCCTGAAATTAATATATACTTGGACATCAGTAGATGAAAAAGAACCAAGCTTACATGCATATCAATGAGATGATACAGAAAGCAACCTTAAAGAAATTCTGAATGCGCAAGAAAATGCTGAACAACTAAAAAAATCAAACCAGGTCATTAAAGAAACAGCAAATGGAAATCTCTAAGTTGAAGGAGATCAAAGAGAAACTTGAACGGGAGTTCTCTGTAAATGCTGAAGAAAGCAACGCCCTCCAGATTGAAACTCGCCAAATAAAGGATGATATACAGTACTTGAATGAGAGATATCAGGCTATGCTGGAACAACTACAAAATTTAGGTTTGAATCCTAATTCTCTTGCAGCATCTGTTAAAAAACTACAAAATGAGAACTCAATGCTAAAAGAGAGCTGCCAAATGAGAGATATCAAACCAATTCATTCTAGAATCATTAAACTCCTCATTTGTCTATCTAATTATAGTCTAAAAAAGCAAAAAACATAACATACCTTCATGTTCATAATAATTTTCTCAGTTAAATCAATTCTCCGAAAACAAGAAGCCATGCATAACCCTTTTATCATTAATGGCAAGCCTAGCCATGCATTGTTCCTCTGGAAATAAAGAAAAAACTTATATTTGTCATGAATTGAGTCGATTACCATCTATACATACATATTAATACAATGTATTGCTTATGGTAGCAATCTCACAAAGCTACGCTTTTTACAATACAACAACAAAAAAAAGAGCTACAACTAGAAAAACAACAACAATGTCATTGATTCTTTTGAATTTGATCCTAACAAAATGCCATGGTACCTTATTTTCTTATGCTTTTATTCTTAATAATTTCTCACTGGGAAACTCTCTTTCTGATTTACTTTGTACAGTTTCTAATGAAGTTGGTCCAAAAAAAATGCTTCTAAACAAATTTATGTTCAATCCTATATAACTCAAAGTCTTAGTCACCACCAACCTTAAGACAATTATGCTTTCCACTACACTATTGATGATTATAACAATGTATCACCTATGTAGTAAAACTCTTCCCTTAAGTTTAGACTCTAAAAATGATCAAATTGAATACTAAACATCATTAAAATATTTAGAAGAACTAAACTTCGTAAGAGAATATTTCATAAAGACTAAATATATTTACCTTTTAATATTTCTCAATACAACACTTGAAAATCATAAGGGGTGTAGGAAGTATGTTTCTAAAATTTAAACAAAAACCAAAGACAGTACAATCAAAGAGAAGGCAATGAATAGATTATGTGAGTCAAATATTCAAAATGGACAGCATGTACACATAGAGGTTGAACTTCCACTTGAGGCTTTCATTGAACACTGAAAATCTACCATAGATGTCTTTATAAGTATATTACCATATTTGACAGTTTAAAAAATGAAGGTGCACCTATATAATAAAAAATATAAAAGGTTGGTACATAATATAATACAAGAGATCATCTAATTTTAATTCTAATAATCGTGCTAGGATCTCTAACTTGTGAATTTGTTTCTTCCATAAGATATGTATTCAATAGTTTGGGAGATAATGGATTAAGTCAGAGCTTTACATTCTAGTCCTGAGGAGGTTTAATCTTGTTGTACAATTTGATTCTACAAATATTTGTAATATTATCTTCTAATCATTAAGAAAACTAACGCATAATTACTATACCAAGTATGAAAAGTTTACCACTTGAATTTTTATATTATATTATATGGACTCTGAATCAGCTAGCTAAATTAATTGGAAATCATAAAAAAAAAAGCGCTTATTGATTGACCCATGAGTGTTTTACCGTTTACCATATTCAAGATAACACCAAAATAAGACATTGTATATATAACCCATGCAGTCCTTCCAACATGACTTATGCTTCAAAATTTACACTCCATCCAGAGAAACCCAACTTTTCAGATACTTGATCAAAAGGTGAAATGCTCCACTACATTTCTTGCACCTCTCCGATCCTAATGTATGTTAATGATCCTTAAACATAATTGTGTTTACACAATAATTTCACCTTCAGCAATTTTTTAAAATCCCCTGTATATTAAGTTCACACTTGAAATAGTTAAATTATATTTTCAAAAGCTTTTATAAAACACTTCTTAGATATAACCCTTTCCCACCACTTAGCTCAACGTCCCAAAAAATGACTGCAACATATTTGTTCACTGATATTATCTTCCTAAGAATCATGTAATAAAATATGTTCCATTGATCTAGCCCTCTTTCATATAACCATTTATATCCTAAAAATTCACTTTATAAAACAACTTAAAAGTCTCAATATCGTAAACATTAAATTGTATCACAACACAAATCAATCCAACATTTTCAAACTCCACACTCAACCAATAAACTAATCAAATCACGGAAAAAAATTGGAATAGAAGAAGGAACAAAGTTGAAAATCAAAGCAGAACAATAAGAAGCATAAAATCATACCTTACTGAAAAATGAATCTATGGTCAGAATCTTCGTCGAGAAATTCATACCTCCACGAATTCTGGATTTTTAAAATCTTCGGTTTGAAACTTTTTTTATGCTTTCTTCTTGTTTTCTCTGTCGATTATGTTCTTTGCACATGCTATAACTATTTCCCCCTTGAAATCACGTTGTAATTTGCTCTAAATTCGACCAAACTAAACGAGTTTTATAGTTAGGGTTCTTAATTCCCTTTGTGTTCTTGACATGATTTGCTTACAGTTTATGTTTCATCTGAGATAGAGGATAATATGTGAGATTGGGTTTGAGTGTTATTTTCCTTTTTTAACGGATCGAAAGAAACGCGTGAGCAGAGAGAGAACGAGATCGAGAAGAGGGAGGAGAAGAACTTTCTGTGTTTGTTTTTTTTACAGGGTGTTTATTATTTTATCAATTTTTTTTTAGGTTTTTAATAATATTATATATATTTTATTCTAAAACGTGATTAGAGAGATATTAGTGATTTTTTATATAATTTTTTTTTCTAAACGGTGGGATGTGTTAGATAATAATATAAAAAAAAACTTAATATAAAAAATCATCCAAAAAAATCTTTCTCTTTAAATGTGAGGTATGCGTTAGATGAACAATGAATATACAAAATATCTGACAAATATGTGTCAGATGATACAATGATTCTACAAAATATGTGTTAGATGATTTTTTATATTAATTTTTTTTTAATAATATTTAGAGGAAAATATTTTTTTAGTTTATAAGTTTGGAGGGAAGATTGCCACCAAAAATTTGATGTTGCTAGAATTTTAAAATTTTATGCAACATTGAAGGAATGTAACCTTTTTACTAGAACTAATGTAACAATCTAAAAATGTCTCCAAAAGTATTTATGGGGACAATTATCAAACATTGCTAAAGAAATATTATAATGACACTCCAAAATCGTCCCCAAAAGTAGTTAAGGGCACAATTAGCAATCGTTGCCAAAAAACTAAAAGAGTGACGCTCTAAAAACGTCCTCAAAAGTATTTTAGGCAACGATTATCAAGGGTTGCAAATATATTTTTGTCAACAGCCTTAAATTGTTGCCATACAAAATTTTAGGCAACAGTTTTTACATGTTACCTAAAAAACTGTTGCCAGAGACAACAAATGTTGTAGTGGCTTCTACATCACATAGAGAAGGTGGGATTAGTGTACCATACATCTGCATCACAAACGGATTGTACTCCTCAAGGAGGCCATCAAGAATCGCATCAACCTGATCTTATTCAGTTAATGTATCTCCTACTGCTAAGAGAGAGTTGGATATGGCTTTGATTCTGAGCACAAATTCTGTTATCGTGTTAGTTCCTTTCTTGGTAGACTTGAGTTCAACTCTTAGTTGTCTAACCCTAGCCTTCATTTGAGCGGTGAAGTATTGGTGAATTTTGTCCCAAACTTCATATGCGTGTTTACACGCAAGAACACGAGGAAGAATCGACTCTGAGATAGTCGAAAGTAACCAAATAAACACAGCCTGATCTTGGACTAACCACGTTTCATATTCGGTAGAAATCGTACCTGAGATACGATCTTGAGTAGTAGCAAATTTTGGCGGAATCTGCGGATTGACAACAATGCGGTGCATCTTCTGTGTCAAGATAACTCCTTCGACTTGTTGGTTCCATAGGAGATAGTTGTTTTCTTGCAGCTGAATGGAGAGTTTCGGACCAAACCTGTTGCTTGATTTCATGGATCCAAAACCAGGAATTCCTTCTTGCGACGGAACGAAGTCTTTGACGCCTGATTCTTGATTGTCTCCAGACTCCATTGTTGCTGCTGAACAGACCTTGAATGAAGTTAAATAGGTGGATATGATGCGAAGCAGAACAACTTCAATGCTGATATGACAGAGCTAACAGAAAAGTGATGAGTGGCGGAAGCGTGCTTAATCGTATACGGCGATTGATACCATGTTAGGATTGGTGAAGATGAACATGGAGGTTCATCTTGTAACAGAATTCGGTTAAAGTTTGTGAGGAAGAAGAAGAAGAGATTGAGAGGAAAAGAGAAGGAAAAGAATGAATGAATTATATTATTATAATTGACCAATATACACAATGGGATACCCTATATATATCCAAACTTTACATAAGGGTAGAGTTATTACTCTTTACATTTTGTATATCTAATAGTAATTAAGCAATGAAGTTTATTGGTATGATTTCTCCTCTATTTTTCTTAAAATTTTCTGCATGTAGACTAACAAAATGGAGAATGTAGAGTAAGAAACATTAATTGAAACACGGTCTTTATTTTATAAAAGAAAAGCACATACATAGAGGTCACACAAGCTGCTAGTAAACAGAGTATTATTTAGAAACAGTAGGAAATTATTATTACAAGCTGCTAGTAAGCATAGCTTGTAACAACATTACTCATATGTCTGAGACCCTGCTTGATGATTTTTCCAAGTGTGATTTGAATGACCATGAATGGATGTCATGTGCTACACCAGTTATTGAAGTAGAAGAAAAACCAATCCTAACTTTGTTTGGGAGCACAGCTTTCAGATCAACCCCTTGTGAAATGGTAGAAATTTGACCATTTGCATAAGTGACAACAACAGTCAATGCGTTAGAAGGAGAGTCATATATTATACTAACTTTATTCAATGAACCATTCACCCAGTTCCATCTCACGGTCTTGGTCGAAATTAAAGAGTTGATGTCGATTCCAATATGTCTCACAGAGGGATCGAAAGAATTGGGATAAAGGTCAAACTCTACACCAACGAATCGATTGATTGAAGTTTTACTATCAACAACTCCCAGATATAGACTGTTAGAGTTGTTGGGAATCACAGTGTCAGCTGGTGCAATGAAAAAGATCACTCCGTCGGTTGGAGCGCGTCCTGCCGGGGACTGTACGACGAAAGAAAAGGAAGTGACAAAACTGGCAACATTGCCGGTAGCGCTGTCCCAAAGGGTTAAGGGTGTTGTGTATAAGGCACGACCGGTAGTTGGAAAAGTTGTAGATGGAGGAAGAGGTGTACTGTTGGTGAGTGCCAAGACACCATTGGCTAAAATTTGTGTATCCCCTTGGAGGGTGATAGCAGAATTACCAGAGGTGAACTTGGTGTAATTGAAGGAAAGTGCTTGAACTGAGTTTATATTTGTGGTTAGCAAAACAAAGATGAGTGAAACAAGGGAGAATAGTTCATGAGTGCGATAAAAAGCCATTGTAACTATTGTGAGGTTTTGTTGATACCAAGTTATGAATGAGGATACTTGGTTGCTCACGCATACTTATATATGCACTTGGGTTTACTTTTGCTATCACATATGATTTAAAATATTTGAAACTCTTACAAATCTAAAACAATTATTTATTAACAATGTAATATTGTCATTGAAGTATAGATTAGAAGAGGCAAACGTGCTTACTCTGTTTAAATTTGTTCTGTAAATGTCCATAAAAAAATTACATTTATAAACTATAAATATGACATTTAAAATTGTATTTTTGGGTTAATTTGTGCTTCAAATATGTTTCTCGTTAATCAATTAATCTGTAAAAATATTTAAAAAAGCATTAAGGATGTTTTTTTTCTCCCAATTTCACTATTTCAAATATGTTTTTATATATTTAATAATAACAATAATAATAATACTGTTTTGCATAAAAATAAAATCACAACTTTTTATTTAAATAAAGTACTCCTTCTCCCTCTGTTTCAAAATGACACTAGTTTTTGAAAAAAAAATTTGTTTTACAATGTATTATATAATTATTATTCTATACACTATTTTTAATATATTAATAAGACTAATATAATAAAAATATAATATTTTATAATAATATCATTGTATTTTTTAATCTGTGTAGACAAATTTTAAACGACAAATATTTAAAAACGAAAAGAATAATTTTATAAAAAACAATAAAGTTATGTTGTCACATCTGCACATGTAACACGAGGATAAAGCATATATGTCGGTAATAAATAGATGACCTTTTTTAAGATACAAGTCCACAATTCATTATGGTAGAAACTTTATCATATTCACTACCAAAAAAGAAACTATATCACATTCCATCTGATTCTAAATATAAACTTTTTTTTTTCAAAATTCTTAAATATAAATAAGAATTATTTATAATTATTATATTCAATTTTATTTATTTCAAATATACCTTTACTTATTTCATATTTCTCTGTTTTTAATGATGTTTAAAACAAAAAATAGAAGTAAAATTAAAAAGATGGTAAAATTTAAATATATTTAAATACTTTTTTAAAGAGTGACTTTTTTTCAAAGTTATTTATACATGAGAAATGAGACTGAAGGAAGTATTTCTGAAATTATTATTAAAAAAACAAATTGGGGTTGGAAATGAATGCTAGTATTCAATGTGTCCAACATAACTGTATTGTCATAAAAGCTCCTATTCAATGTATGAAAATGAAAGAACATAAGACTGTTAAACGTGAAATGAGCTAGGGCAACCATATTATACATACTGGAGTTTTAAAATTTAAAATGATGGTATTTGTAGATTAAATAATAATATGATTATAGATTATATTGAAAACTTAATAAAAATTACATCTGTAGTGTAGTGAGAAGAAAATTTTGCTGGAATGTTTGAGTCGCATGTTGAACTTTGAGTTCAATATTTTTATGATAAAATTATTTCATATTTTTTAAGAGTTTGTTGTTGTTGTTTATTATAGACCTCTAGAAAATTAGAATTAGCTCTGAAAATAAATATAGATATTTTTTCTAAATTATAACTTTGATTCGTCTAACATATATATTTATATAATTTAAACCCCTTCATTTTAAAAATAAAAGTTTATAATTCTTGTATTTTTTAGGGTTGTAACCACCTTTTAAATCTGAGTACGTGGTAATGCTGGTGTTTTAATGTTAAGTCAGTATTAAAATATAAAATTATGTCATTTTGTAAGTTAGTTAAAAAAAGACTCAATAATTTATTTTTAACAAATAAAGATTAAATAATATCGCATTAAAGTTTCTTTTCTTCTCAATCCGGTCTTTGAAAAATATTTGGCATAAAAAAATTAATATCTAAAACCAATTTTAATAAACAGTGATGTTATCTTAACATCTAAAAACAATTATTTATTATTAATATTGTGATTGAATTAATGCCTAGAGTTAAAGTATCCAATATCATCGTATTATAGATTGTTGATTCGTTTAAATTTAATCTATAAAAATATGAAGAAAAAAAGAAGAAAAAAATGGAGCTAGGCGGTCAAAACAATAAAGGCTGGATTGAGTAAATATGTAGTAACTATGCCATTTTAAACCTAAAAACTACCAAAAAATTATATAGATTTCCGCGCCGCAAAATAAACTACTCACTAGAGCAACTTTAGTGCAGGGTTGTTAAACCAAAATTCTTTATAGCTTACGTCAGTAATAAGGAATTTGCATTATAGTAGTACTGACATGGCATATGAGATGCTCTAAAACTAGTTTACGTGCTCTACACAAGCAACGTACTCTAACTCATTATTTAACATAAATAATAGATTTTTATTAACAATTTAATACCATATGGGGTCAAATTTTGGTTTCTTATAGACAACCACCATTAAAGTAAAAACTACTCAAATCAACTATAAATTTTTTAAATCTTACAAATCACTTTGGGTCCACAAAAAGTATCTTAGTTTACCCATTTAGTTTACTCCCACTAAAGATGCTCTATATTAAAACCGTACAGTATCATTTTAATTAAAACTAATATTTTCAAATAATAATTTTGATATTTAAAAATGACTTTTATCAGTTATTTTGCTCTTCAAATATGTTTTTATTAATCAATTTTATATATAAAAATATTTTAAAAAGAATTAAGAATGTATTTGTTTTATTTTACTATTTCAAAAATATTTTTATTATTTATAAATAACAATAATACTACTATCTTACATATTTAAAGAAAAAGAGATGATACATTGACAATATAATTTTTTTACACTATCAATTAATAACAATTATGCATCCTGCTAAATTAAATTAAAATTTTGAATTAATTATATAATATGAAAAAATAATATTTTTTATTTAATACTTGTGAAAAACTTTTTTACATTTCTATTATTGAATGATAGTGAATAAATAAATTTAATCTATTTAATTAAAAGAAAAAATCACATAAAAGTTGACTCAACGGAAATATAATTATTTTATAATTATTAAAAAATTATTTATAATTATTAAAAATTCTTATGAGTCCCTGTTAACAAAATATTTATTTTATTTTAGTCAATAATTGTCTTTATTTGAGACATAAAATTCTTATTTTAAAATGTAAAAATTTTTATTTTTCTCATGAGTCACGCAAAATACCTATTTTATTTTAAATAACGATTTTCTTTATTTGAGATATAGAATTTTTATTTTTAAATGTCAAAATTTTTATTTTTTTTCATAGGCCACTATCAGCAAAATACCTATTTCATTTTAATTAACAATTATCTTAATTTGAGACATAAAATTCTTATTTTTTAGTGTCAAAATTTCTATTTTTTTTTACGACTACTATCAACAAAATACATATTTAATTTTTATTAACAATTATCTTTATTTAAAATACAATTTTTTTAATTTAAAATGTCAAAATATTTTGTTTTTCACAGATCACTATTAACAAAATATATATTTTTTAATTAATAATTAATAATTATATCAAATCAATTTATGCATGCGGAGGTTAAGGTATTTTGTTTTGTTAGTGAGGTAAAAAAAACAAGTTTTGTTGTCAGATATGTGCATGAAACATGCGGAGACAAATGTGCTTACTGTATGGTCCCCTTTAGACAGTTTTCTTTGAAAGTAAATCCATGATAACTCATTAAGGACCGTGGCAGCTGTATATGTCGGAAATTATTATGAAAAAACAAATTTGGGGTTGGACGGACGATGATAGTGCAATGTTTTAATGGCGGACTAGAGTTCAAAAGGTTTCATTAGTTCAATTGATTAAATCTATGGTGGATTGTTTCTTAAATTTGTGAAGTTAAACTTCATGGAAAATCAACGATATGATGATTATGAATGTGACTGGAAAAAAAAACTACAACAAATTCATATAATTTAAAAATTTGTGACTATAGAAAAAATTAAGATTTTTTTAATTTGAAGAAGATATACTAAAATTGACCAATGACGAACATTTCTTTAAACAGAAGAATTTTATAAATTTGGCTTTGATTCTTTAATTCAAACATTTTTGAATGATTCAAATTAGTTATTTTAATTTTGACACATTTTCAATTATATTAAACTTGTTAGGCCGGATCCATTATGGATTTGTGATCCAATCAGTTAAATCAACTGGTTGGGTATAACTTTTAAAATACAAGTTCAACGTGTCTTTTCGCCATAGTTGTATTGTTAGAAGATTACACGACCTGTGAATCTTTTAAAAAGTCATATTTTAGAATTTTGAATATAAAACTAAAAGATACAATAAAATAAAGAAAAGAAATAACACTATTATGAATCTGAAGTTTTTAGATATTAAGCATCTTCAATGGTGCAATCCATTTTTAAGTTTTTTGTAGGACCTACTATTTTAAAGCAACTCATTTAATTTTTAACTCTAAAGAATTCATATTAGGTCCCATTACTTTACTTAAAAAATATTATTTATATTAAATTTATTTTATTTAAAATTATAATTTAAATATTTAAATTTTAATTAAAATGATAATTAAAATAATAAATAAAATTTTATATCAAATTATAATTTTTATATTATAAAATTAATATTTTAATATAAGAATCATTGAAGAACCGTTGCATATTTAAGAACTTTTCCATCTTGAAAACAACAAATATGAGTGTCATGTTGGCAAACCCACTCTAAGAACTCTCATTGGAGTTGGTCTTAATGTTCTTTTGCAACTATTATTATAGGTACATTTTTTCCAATTATTATTACAAAGTATAATATAATATTTTTATAGTTACTGCACATACTCTGCTTAACTACATATATGTTAAAGAATAAAATGACATTTTTTTCAACTTTCTTATTTATTTCATTATTGCATTTAATAAATCTTAAATTTACTTTTGATCTTTATATTTAACAATTTTTGAATTTTTATTGATCCCTCAATTTTTTTAGAGGTGGCAGCGATGTGACATTGATGATCAAAATACAAAATTAAAAATTTATAATTAACATTATTCCT